AAAATATTAAATAAAAAATGGGAGAGAAGTACTTCGCTTCATATATATTAAGATATCTCATCCTACACATTGATAAAAATTTAGTTTTTTTTATTATTTTTATTTTACAGCGAGTGTCCAACAAGTTAGTCTATGAATATTTAAAATTTTTTAAATAAAATCCTAAATTATAATTTTTTATCGAGTCCTTTACCATATAATTATCTTTTGACTTAGCCTTAAGATTTTTAAAACCTTCAAATGTACTAATGTTTATTAGCGGTTTCAAGTCATTCAAAACTAATACTTCCTCTATACTTATTATATACTCCCTCAATTTTTTTTCATAATCGTTTAAGGTTTTTGCACGAGACTTAAAGAAATGATTGATATTTTAATTTTAAAAATATTTATTACATACTTTCATATTATACTCTTTATTTTTTTTGCCTTTAAGTCTTGAGATTGTTGATTTGTGTACACTTATTATTTTTATGCACCTTTTGAAAAGTTCATGAATTAATCCATTAATTATTAGAATACACATGTAACCTACTCCATTTAATCACACCTGTACATGAATTAATGCATTGATTACATGTCAACAATAATCCTATTCCATTTAATCATACCTTTAAGTAAATTGTGGCTTTTGGGTATCTTAATTCCTGAATGAATACTATGAAAAGAAAAAAAAAATCATGGAAACATATTGCCTCATAAATACAACATTAACTTCACATAGGTGGTTGAAGAAAAAATAGGTAGACATTAGAAATAAATAAACACATTGTTCAGTAAACATACATTAATTATCAAAGGTTAAAATGAAAAAAAAATAATAAGTCATTGATTTTAGTAAAATGAAAATGAAAAAAAAAATAACAAAATATTGACAAAACGACTATGAAAAAAAAAGAAATATATATATATATATATATATATATATATATATATAATTCTATACATTACATTTATTAAAATATCTTTAATTATATTTATTATAAATCAATGCTTTTATTTATTACCTTAGAGTATTGGATTAAAAGCATTAAATAAAATTGACTTAGTTGAAATTTGTTTATTTTCTAATTCAAATAATTTAAGCATTTTGTTTTGCTTATATATAAGTTCAGAGTGTATATCATGAACTAATTTAGTGTTGGGACTTCACTGAAAAATAAATTTCAAAACATTGAATTTTTTAAACAATCAAAAACGTGTGTAATACTCCCTCCAATCTTTTTTTTTTCATTTTTAATAAAAAAGAGGTATAACTCCCTCCCATCGAATTGACTCATATTAAGAGTAAAGTAATATTTCTAGTTTTGACTTCATATCCAAGGTAGGAATCGGTCAATTTTTAGTTAAAGAACACAAATGTTAAACCATTTGTGCTGTCAACTTTTGGTCTCAAATCCTTTATATAAGAAAAAAAATAACTAATTTATCAAAACCAATAAAAGTAGTTAAGATGTTTAGTTTTCTTTAATAATTTCATAGAATTAAATTACATTAAAAAATACATTTTGAATTGATTGGTTTATATAATGATAGTATTAAATGACACTACACCTAATTCAAGAGATAATTTTTTTATTCACCAATAAGTGTATCTTGTATTGCTAATGCATCAATAAATGCATCCACTTGCATGAGGATAAACACGAATTAATAATTAACACTCTCTTAAGAATCATATAAAAGCAAAATATATAAGTTCACACATATTAAAAAAATTAGTTAAGTTCATTTAATTTTATTGATTTCATGTGAAAAGTCAACTTTACTTCCTGAACTACCATTAATAATGTTTATTAGAAATAGTAATCAGATTTAATTTAAGTATTTTTTTGGAATGATAAATTAAATACAATCTAGTTAGTTAGAATTTGTTTATATTTACTTTTTTGGTTTATATATGAGTGTAGAGGGAGTGCTTAGAATTTGTTTATATTTACTTTTTTGGTTTATATATGAGTCTAGAGGGAGTGCATCTTAGAGTAGATACTTGTTTCTTATAATTAAGAAGAAAAAATGCTCATTTATTTTTGGCTATTAATTTCATGCATGTTTTCAGTAACATGTCTTTGGTGCCCCTTATGCATTGGACTAGTAGAGTGTGGTTACCTGCCCACCTCTCTCACATTAGAGAGTAATTTTTTAAATATTTAAACCCTAAATTTATATATATATATATAT